ATACTCTGACCGAAATTGTTCCTATCAGACCTGATAGACACTATCTGATAAAGGTTGTTCCTATCAGACCTGATACACACTATCTGATAGAGGTTGTTCCTATTAGATGTGATAGATACTGTGACCGAAATTGTTCCTATCAGACCTGATAGACACTATCTGACAGAAGTTGTTCCTGTGAGACCTGGCACTATCTGATAGAGGTTGTTACTGTGTAACTTGATATTATCTAATAGAAGATTTTCCTGTGTGGCCTAATAGACACTATCTGAAAGATTAAATATTCGTGATGCTTAACACTATCTAAGCTAATACTTTTGCAATGTCTACCACCACTTTGTTGATAACATCTCTATCAGTGTTTGCACGATTTACTAAATGACGTTTTTACGGTATGAACTGCTATCTAAGTCTGGTACAAGACACGTGTTGCTTATCAACCTCCAGTAGATGATGCATCATACTTACTAACATCTGGTAGATAGCATCTACAATGCTGTACATCTCTTCTCGTGTGATGTATCCGTCGTCGTCAACGTCATACAGCTTGAACGCCCCTATGGTAGGATTAACATAATATTTTATCTTTACTTTATCATCCGTGAGTTACTGAAACATCTCTATGAAGACGACGCTTAAAAGGTTTATATTATCATCAGTTTATTATTCAAAAAAAGGCAATTTCAAATTGAAAATATAATTAGCTTGAAATATTTTTTTACCACTTGGCGTTCCAAACAAAATCAATTAACTGAGCAAACAATAATTTTGAAACAAAGACGATATTATTACACGTGACTTCCGCTGTCGTAACAATATGAAATGGTCAGTTACTCTAAATGAATACATACGATAGTACAAGGAAACATCTCTAAACGTTTCTCGTGATGTCTCACTGGAAAAATACTTTTCTCAGCCTTGCCCCTGTCCTTTTAATACACAGCTCACCCTTACCCTGGCTATTTTATCTCAGATAAAAAAAAGAGGGACAGAGGATATGCCATGTAAAACTGTGGGTTCATAAATAAAAACTAAATAATACAGTTGGTTTAGATGACAAAATAGGAATATACAGCAGCATTAAAGCAACTAGATTATTTTCTCTTGAATCGTATTACAATATTATAAAACACTTGAAGCATGAAACTAAGAAAAACACTAGTTATCAAATATAAGTTAAATCACAAGTACAGCAACATATCTGAGATTTAATCCCAGATTTTAAAGTACTTACAATCAAGTTTTTCTTCAACATTTCCTCGTGACGTCACCGACAAAGCTCGGATAAATTCTTCAAATTCGATTGCTCCGTCCTATTTCAAAACAGAACATTGCAAATTGAATTACAACAAAGTATTTTCACAATCAGGTATTTCAAAAAGTAAAGGAATAATTGAATAAACTCAATCTAATTGAAAATAATACATTGAATTTTAATGTGCGTGAAGGGTTTTCTTTTTTTTCTAAAAAAAAAGACACTTAAAATTGACTTTTGTTTTCACCAAAGGAAGAGGCGAGTGTATGAGAAATAAAAAAAGATTACTATGAAATGCAAAAGAACAATTTAAATTTCAAAGATTGCGAGAAAACCAAAATGTAAATTGGGAGGATTTTGTTTAAGTTATTTGCTTTATTTATTTTTATTTCTATTTAAATAAAGTGATATAGAATAATTTTCAAAGATTAGGGTTAGGTATGAACTTGTAACACACGCAACCTTACTAGTTAATATAACTTTGGTTCTATAATGTGACTACTATGCTGCCTCATTAACTATTTTATGGAGTGTTAGTCGATATACAATTTGTTGCAAAAATGTTTTTATCAAAATGAAAATTGAGTTCTCTCGAGTGGATTCTCTGCTTGGATAACAATTTTCAAGTAAGCGGTTTTTGTTTCATTTTCCTTCCCTCTAAATGTTTATTAGAGCGTATTATATTCTAAAAATAAAACTTTTAATGGTTACAGACTTACGTCTTAAATATCAAAGTAGGCCACGACTCAGATTTTCTTCTCTCAGTCGCAACATGATAATTTAAAGTACAGATCACAGCAAAATGAAGTGTAGTGACTTTAGAGTAAAACTAGAATATTAAATCAACATAAAACTTGTGTCATTAAATTTGAAAGCGTCATCTGCAAATTTTGTTTGTTTGTAATTAAACACAAAGCTACACAATGGGTTATCTGTGCTCTGCTCACTATAGGTATCGACACCCGGTTTCTAGCGTTGTAAGTCCACTGTGCCACTGGGGGGGGGTCATCTGTAAAGTAACGCTTTATTTCGAGAACTTGCTTCCTAATTATAAGATCTAAACATAGAACTGCGTATTAAACCTAATCACAGCATGTCCTGTGAAGTTATGGATGTGATTTATAATTTAGAACAATTACTTTCAGCACACAAAACGTGGACCAGAAATGAATTCATTAAAGATGAATTATGCAAAAACTTGGACAGATATATATATACAGTGAATTTGTTATTCGTTGCTTTCTTCTTCTTCAAGATAATAGGTCTGTGACCCACTGAAAGATGCAGAAGTTGTTGGATACGGCCTGGTGCCTTTAATAAAGTTTTAAATATTTTGCAAATTTTGGTATTGTTCGTTTCTAACAAAAAACAAAAATATTGACAATACAAATATGATTTGTTTCGTTCTCCAGTTCAAGTTCCTAATCTAATGTCTTTCCATTCGATCACATGCCTCTCCATAACTCAGCGGTAAGTCTGAGGGCTTATAACGCTAAAATTGGGTTTCGGGACTCTAGATTGGCAAATCACAGCTAGCCCATTATTTAGATTTGCGATTAAAAACAAACAATCCATTCGATCACAAATATTCAACCAATGTAGAAACAATTTGGATTTTACAAATGTGAAATATAAGTATTTGTTATTATTTAATATGTAAACATTACTTTGATAGTGTGGACAGCTTCTTTAGAGTTGAAAAATTTAGCTGAATGAGAATTTTATCATAGATGACATCCCTGAGACTAATTTGTTTCTATGGAGAGCAAATTAACTATTTAGTGTTTCTGAAGAAGATATAAGGTAAAAACATATCTAGACAAAAACAAGAAAAAAACACAATATTTTATTATTTTATTTGTCTATACATTTTATTATTTTTCTTAACGTTGAATTGAAATGTTTTTATTTTAAACAAATACAGATATGATATTCTTTGTTTGTTCTTAAGCATAAAGCTATGTACGCATAGGGCCATTTATGCTCTAAACAGCGTGGATATCGAAACCCAATTTTTTTAGCGTTATAAGCCCTCAGCCCTATCGCTGAACCATCGTGGGGCTAAAGATATGATGACCATATAATTGCCCACAAGCGACTTTTTGTACTATAAGGCGAAACCTCAATTAATTTTCAAAGATTTTTACGCTAGCATATATTATTCTGATAACTTATTATAATATGTAACAGACGGTGATTGTGTTTCAGTAAAATCATAATAACTTTTAATACATGAAGTATGTTTTAATAATGTATGAAACTATATTTTGTTTTATCTTGAATAAAATTTGGTGCGATGCGCATATAGAAAACAAAATCGAGCTTTTTATAAAACAGACAAAAACAGATGCTAGATTGTTAGTGTTACTATGAGAACGAGAAATCCATTGCCAGGCAATGAAAGGTAGCATATTACTAAATAAATCAAACTTATTTCAGTCTTTGAATTCTCTGTTCGATATGTACAAAATACGCTTTAACTTGGAAAATTGTCGAATTTTATGTATCTAATTGGATTGAACTGAATTTGTAAAGACTTTGCGACATTCCACTCTATGTCGCCACGGATACGGAACACAAGCAAAAGCACAAATCAGATCAATGGCTGCTCAGAGGACAAGAACGTGGGATAAATATAGAACTTACAAAACAAACTGGACTCGAAATTTAAAGCATGTTAGTGTCAGGAGAGAGATAATAACAGCTACACTGACTAACAAGTTTATACTTAAATCAACAAGTCATCGGCAAGAACCAAAAACAGATGTCCTTGTCTGCAAGGACTTAACAAACAAGATCGTTGGTGGATTCCACTGATTGGGGTTGGACTTAGACCTCGTAGTTAACGAACCTAACTACGGGTTGCAGGGTCCAAGTTTCGATGCCCCGGAATGGCCAGATGGTTAGGGCGCTCGACTCGCAATCTGCAGGTCGCGGGTTCGAATCCCCGTCACACCAAACATGCTCGCCCTTTCAGCCGTGGGTGCGTTATAATGTGACGGTCAATCCCGCTATTCGTTGGTAAAAGAGTAGCCCAAGAGTTGGCGGTTGGTGGTGATGACTAGCAGCCTTCTCTCTAGTCTTACACTGCTAAATTAGGAACGGCTAGCGCAGATAGCCCTCGTGTAGCTTTGTGCGAAATTCAAAACAAACAAACAAACAAACCAAGTTTCGAGATGTGGTACTTCTGACCACGTTCCGTACTTTCGAGTGAGACGCAGCATAAGTGTGACAGTCTCTCCTGATGCTTGGTTCGAACTTTGACAAAACCGTTACTGTCAATAGTTCAAAATTCGGGACGGCTATTACTGAACCCACTAGTCTCTGACGTGAACTTTTAACACATGTGCGCATAAGGTGGAATTCAGGTTGAAAGTACATAGTTACAATACAATGCTTCCCTCCCTTTAATAGCTACAAAACAAATTTATTTGGTCTTTTAGAGGTTTTCGCTTGAAAGTTTCCAACTATTTTTGTTTGATATCATAGTGAAGTTCACTAAGTAGCTTCGAATCTAATTTATTTTATCTTGTAGTGTGTTACACTTGGTAGATGCCAGCCATTATTATTCGCCCAATAGTTTGGTCATTTTGTTTTTAAGTACAAAACTACACAATGGGCTATCTGTGCTCTTCCCACCGCGGATATCCAAACACGATTTTAGCGTTATAAACCCTCAGACTTACATGAGGGACTGAAGGCTTGCCAAAAAAAACCCACGTTAGGAAGAGGCCGCACCCATTTCAATTAAGCCCTTTCGCAATTGGCTGTGACATTTTATAATTTTATATTTACTACCAAATCATTTGTAATATATATGGAAACACATATATAGGAGAAACCGGAAGACCTTTTCACACACGCATCTCAGAACACATCAATGCGCTTTATACACATGACCAACACAAAACCGCTCCAGCAGAACATTTCCTACCCAAACATGGATCCCCAAACACAGAAAATCAGAACCTATTTAATGTTTGTATTTTACAAAAAAAAAAAAAGATATGGAAGCTATACTCATTAACGAGAAAAATCCAAAAATGAACAGAGACAATGGATGGTACATGTAACCAAAACACCATTCACAGAACAACAAATTGTATCAATACACTTTATACTTATTACTTCCAGTTTAAGACTTGCTTACTCTGGAGTACCACACAGTTTTACAAGTAGTTTTTAACACTGCTAGTAAATTTCGAATCATTTCCACTTACTATCGTTTCTTAGCAACTTCTATTTTTCTGTCTGTGTGTTTTCAGTTAATCATAAAGCATATTACGGTTCTCTTTATTTTTATATCTTATTTTAGTAATATATGTCATATGTTAGTATAGCTACGTAATATAAGTATACTATATTAGAACAATAATGAAACAACAATGATATTTTATAAATTGTCGGAGACACGTGCGACAGACTAGAGAGATGGAACATCACAATCAATTTTTTAAATAACGTACACTTCAATATCAAACATTTGTATGTATTAACCCCGAAGAAGCTGTAAAAGCGAAATGTTGGTAGTAATAAAAACAAACAAATATATTTACATCTGGAGTGTAAAGGTCGTTTATCTAAATTTTTATATTTACTAGTCACTATACGATATTCATCTTCCAAAGGAAAGGGAGTGTGTGATAAGCCCAAAAGAATGTTTCTTGCAGCTTAAATTGGTCCTTATTATATTGAGAGAACGTTGCCTAGCTATTAGCGTGCTCGGACTGTGAAATAGAGGATTTATGGTTCCGAACCCGTCGCTCGACTCGCAATCTGAGGGTCGCGGGTTCGAATCCCCGTCCCACCAAACATGCTCACCCTTTCAGCAGTGGGGTGTTATAATGTGACGGTCAATCCCACTATTCGTTAGTAAAAGAGTAGCCCAAGAGTTGGCAGTGGGTGGTGATGACTAGCTGCCTTCCCTCTAGTCTTACACTGCTAAGTTAGGGACGGCTAGCGCAGATAGCCCTCGTGTAGCTTTGCGCGAAATTCAAAACAAACGAACCCAACCCGTTGCCGAAGAAACAAAAAGTTTCGTACTTAGAGGCTAGAGGT